GGAAAATTACTGACACGTCCCTAAATTATTTTCTCAAAATTATCGTCTTGTCCAGTCAAATAAGTTGTGAAGTGATTTGTTTATAATTTACCAATTAATTATATCAACACGCGGACGACTCACAGGTGTAGTATCATCTATGTAAACACCCAATTAACACGTCCATCCCAGCCCCAGGCATTCACTGTTATCCAAATAAGTCCAAGCTGAATTAATTTTACGCTTGATTGACGTGTATACATGTGCAATCAAAACTTCGAGAGATAGAGAGTAAAAAACAATGAAATATGTGTAACGGGACCCAGGTCTTGGTTCGAGAGATAGAAAGCGAGGGAGATCGGGAGTTCGAGATATCAGGAGTAAATTTGCTTAGTTATACAGAGGAAAGAAACGGGACCGGAGGTTCACTTCGAGAGATCGAGAACAAAATTTTACAAAGACTAACTGAAAGATAGTAGTTTAATTAAGCTTTAATAGCTTAATACCATTTCTCATGCAACTTTGATCAATATGTCTCAATGAATTTATAAAATGTAAACATGGCAGCTATCTAATAATTCTTAGTGATTGGTGATCATACCCAGTAAGCAATTTTTTGCGGTATAATGCAACCGCAGAAGTTGAAAACGCAGAAATTAATTTGCTGTCTTTTAGGGGTTTTAAAATTGCAAAAATTTCCAACCACAGAAAATACCCGTTATACGGTATTGCTGATGAACTGATGATACTGTTTACTTCTTTTATTCTTTATATAACTTTTTTTCCCATGCAATTCCATATACATGTATTTCATGTCCATGTTATCTTTTTCTGCTCTTCTGTATCAGACCATTTGTCTACTATGAAAAGGGGGGGGTGTTATAATACATTATTTCGCTCCAAACGTCACGAGCAAATCTTCACGCTTTTCTTTGAAATGTATGTTCTATTGAATGGTTTCCATCATCATATATATTATTGTATGTACTGTACAAATTAATTTTATTGCATTTGGAGGTCAGAGTATTTATGTTTTCAAAGACAGATTATCCATTTCCAAAATCTGCCAGATCCAATAATTCCTGTACATTTCATTGATCCTTATGCTAGTTTCGTTCAACAAGAACGTTCGGCTGTCTCCGTAAACTCCGACCAGCTCGTCGGAGTTTACCGAGACGGCCGCCATTTTGACCCCGCTTCAAATTTTAAAATGCAAATATCTAGACTAGAGTTTGAATTTATCAATTTTAAAACAAATTATATATTAAGCATTTTTAGAAGAGCTTCTATTAACCCTAATAATATCAAAGAAAAATATTGAAAAACAAAAAAGTTAAAAAAAATCCATTTTTGAAATTCGCTTCCGGTGGTGACCAGAAGCATCAACGACGCACAAATAATTGGTCAGAACATCTACAAGTCATGTTCTATCATCTTTGACATGTCTCCAGTTCATATCTTTAGCCGTTTTAGAGGAGATAGGCAGACAAAATCCAATTCAAAATCAGAAAATTGGCCATTACATGGAACCAAAAGAGAATTTTTGAATTTTCTCCTCAAATGCACAAAGATCATAATAATGTCCATTATCCCTGAAAAAAATCACTGAACACCACTGAATGGTTTTTGAGAAAACACGTGCACAAAATATGGGAGGAAAAATAAGAATAACAATAATAATAACAAGAAACAGTAGAATCACTATAAGGTCTTCCGTGAAGACAGAAGACCTTAATAATAGAAAACAGACGGAAAACAATAAGGTCTTCCGAAGGAAGTCGGAAGACCTTAATAATAATAAGAAACAGATTAAAAACAATATGTTCCCCAACTTCGTTTGGGGAACATAATGATGCTATAAAATTAGACAAATTTTTTTTTTTTTTAAGAAAAGCATTAAGGAAAATGTTCAACATTTGTAAAAACGTTCGGTGAAAATGTTTTAGAAACTTCTAAAATATTTTTGTTACATTTTATGGAAGAAGATCTTTTAACAATACTTTGTTAAAACATTTTGAAAAAAATTTAAAACGTTTAAAAAATATATATATTAATTCACAAGACTGATACATTTTCCAAAAAAAAAATTCAATTAAAACATTTTGAAAATGTTTTAATTTTGTTTATTTTTTTATGATATCTAGGTTAAATACCATTATAAATATCATATGAATTATTTCATTTACCAATAACCAAACAACAATCATGAGCAATAATTTTTTCCTCCATATTTTTACAACCTTTTTTTTTAAAGAATTTCAATGAGAAACCATGAGACACTCAATCTTATTGGCAGCAGGTTCATACATTTAACACATCCCTATGAACTATCTGTCGGGATGTGTGTGTGATCCCAGTTGTTGTTTTAACAATTTACTGACTTGTTGTGTTAACTATATTGGACGGTAGCTGGAGATCACTTAATGATTTAAAATTATTAATTATCATTTAACATGAATTAAATTACCTTTCACGAATGTGAGAAATCTTTCAATTTTGATTCAATTTCGGTGCAGAGAGAGAGAGAATATATTTAAAGTTTTACTTCTCTTCATCTGTTGTGAATAAAACATTGAAATTTATGACTTCATATTATTATATAAATAAAATATAATGTGGATTTAGCTTGATATATTATGTGCTATGTGTACTTTGAGAAACATACTGTATATATCACCATAATGAAATAATTTGTTGATCAAGGACCAACCTAGGGGGCGACTGAGGCGAAATAGTCGCTTTTGAGCCCCAAACTTCGCCGTAAATTATCACGAAAGAGAAGTTTAAGTCGCCTTAATATTTGCACCTCCTTTATTGAAAATCATAAAAATCTATTAAGAAACGTGGTAGTATCATCACTATTTTATAAATCTGGTGTTATTACTGCTGAAATAAGTGAAACAGCAGGGCACTTACACCTGTTTTGCTACTAATGACCAATGCATCGAATACTCTGTCGGAACTCCTCTAGACTTTACGCTTCCGTGTATGAAAAAGTCCATTGTTACAAGTTATACACAACAAGACGCAAAACAGCTGGACAGCTATCGATGTCATGCCAAAGATGTTGAAGATGATTTTAGATCTTTTTATTGTCAAATAATTAATACATGCTGTGAATACAGACACATTTTTACTGTTAAATTGTGGAGTTATCAACTGTCTAAGAAATTACACATGTCTGATAAACATAACTAGTTCAAACAGCATGCAGTAGTTGCACCAAAACGATTTTTTAGAGAAAGAATTTAATATTGAAAACAAATTTTGAAGAGAAAATAAAAAAATTATGACTATGCCAAGAGCCTGAAAATCTAACCCTGAGAGGAGAGAAAAATGTTTGAATCATTTAAAAGTTAACTGTGCATTCTATTATGCAAGAAATGAAAAAAAGTTTGATAAACAAGTTTATCAATTAGAAACTTTTACATTGTCATTGTTTTATATGTTTGCTAGATATTTATAAAAAGTTTGATAAACAAGTTTATCAATTAGAAACTTTTACATTGTTATTGTTTTATATATTTTGCTAGATATTTAGATACCTTTTAATAGGAAAAATATAATTTTTTTTTTAAAGAATATTTTTAATTATTTTTACTAGGATCTTTAAATAATACGGAAAAAAATTATTGAAATGTATTTAAGTAATAAACAATGAAATTTTTTTATTTTTAAAAACTTTAATAATGATCATAGTGTTTCCCACGCGCGCCAAGAAGTCTCCCTAGAATTCAAAACTTCTCCCTACATTTCTCTGAGGGAGAAGTGAAGTCTCCCTAAAGTTTGGGTCTAGGTTGGTCCCTGGTTGATATCCCGAAAATTTAACCAAAGTCCCAAACCGTCTTTACTCAAGTCCCGAACCGTCTTGTCGCTAGTCCCAAAACGTCGTCTTAGTCAGGTCCCGAAACATCGGGGTCCCAAAACATTGTGCACCCAAATTGTATGAAAAAATTCTACTATAAATTTAAGTCACAGAAATGCTTGAAAGCACCATTTCTTTTGTCATTAGTGTTACTTCTATAGATGTTTTGATTAAAGAAGTAAGTAAAAAAAAAATCAAAAAAAAAATTGCCTATCTACCTACCCTTATTTTTTTCAGCCTGAACAGGTCTAGGAAAATCACTATATTTAGCTATATAGCTAGATCTACCTATATAGCTTTATTTACCTATATAATATAGCTTTATTTAGCTATTTCAGAGTAAATTTCTGTTTTATGAAAAGCAGACAAAAAGTCGCATAATGAGGCAGTGTTAGTTTTCAACTTTGAAATGGGCTGAAAACAATTCACCAAAAACCCACTTTTAAAAATGTTTCTCCTTTTGTGCAGTTGCAATCAAAGATCTGAAAGTTTTGGGGCTATATATAACAGTTAATCTGTGAATAAGCAGCTACTTTAACAAAGAAAAGCAGTTTTGGTCAACAAGATAATTGATTGGTAATAATTCAGCACAATGCAAGGCAATCACACTTAGTCATGCCTCATCGCACTTCCAGTAATGGACAGCTATCCAAACAATAGAGATGCATTTTTTGGTTAAAAAGTGTTTAAAAGACGCAATGTTTTTACTATCTATGCCCTAGGTTGTTTTTATCAAACCTTTTTAAAAAAATATCAGCCATATTTTCCATGCGACTTTTTGTTTGCTTTTCATAAAACAGAAACTTATTCTAAAATAGCTAAATAAAGCTTTATTATATAGGTAAATAAAGCTATATAGGTAAATTAAGCTATATAGCTAAATATACATGTAGTGATTTTCCTGGACCTGCTGAAAACGGAAACAAACATATTTTTTTCCAAGCCTATATAAAGCTGTAATTATAAATGATTTGTAAAAGGTAAAGTAATCAGCCTGTGTAAAAGTAATTGTGATTTCTTTTTCATGAAAAAAATCCTTTACCATGCCTAATGTCTGTCATGAACCATGATGCCATCTCGAAAGTCGTACTTCAGAAGTTAGCACTAACCAGAATAATTTTAACTGATTCATCTTTACATTTATATTCTTGCTTACCTCAAAACTTGAAGTACTGAACTCATTGTTTGATAATCATAACAATGTTTAGCTTTGAAACTGCTTTGGCGAAATATTATCTCGCCTTTCGACTTTTTACCGGAACAATAATTCGAAGCATATCGATCCCGATCCTAGCATGTAAGAGCGGAACGAACAATAACTCTGAAAGAATAAGTTTTGTGGGAACGAAATAAAATTCGCCAAGAAATAAAATTCGTGTGAACGAATGTCATAAACAATTTGCAACAATCAAGAGGTTTTCCTTGATGCAATATACAAACAATATGTGTACTTATCAAAATTTAGAACTCTTGAATGTTACTCAGAGAAAAAAAAACAGTTTTTGGCTGATATAAATATTTACAAATCTGATAAAAGTCTAATGCAGGGCTGAAACGATTCACCGAAATATCGATATTGTTCAATATTACTTCTCGGTTCAATGTTCGATTCACTATCTCGGTTCGGTACGTTTTTTAAGCGCTAAGCATGCTAAGCGCAGTGCAAAACGCTTACTGTCATCTTAATACTACTTCCGTTCGTGATCCAGCGCCACTTAGCAGTCTAGACGAACTCCAAAAACAGCGTTTCCGGAAGTAAGAAATTGAGACTGAAAAAGACTCCGAAAAAAGAGTCCGCGCATGCGCATACGCACAAAAAATGGCGATTTATCGGCAAAAATGATGGGTCTACAAAAACTGTCTGTGCAAAGTTTTGGAAAGTATGGCAATTATGCCAGTACTCAGAAATGCTAAATAAAAGACTTTGGAAGAGATCGTATTTGTCAGATTTTTTATTTTATTTGCAAAAAAGGAGATATTTACTTTCAAAGTTGACGTTCGAAGTCAGGTCAATTACAGAGAAAATGATACGTTTGAGAAGTAAATATGCATAATAAAAGGGATATATATGCAAAATGGAATAATATATATTGTAACTGTTAAAAACTTGACTGAATTTTACACATAAATTAGCATTCCGGTATTTTTATTTGTGTACGACATCTGAATTGAACGCGTAAGTTCTTACCATCGTTATTTACCGATTTTTTGTCACATACGAACAGATATTATTATGAAAACATTTTTAAAACTATTGGCTATCAATATGAAATCTTTAAAAACCACTCTTCTAGAAATTAAGGTCACAACATATCTTCTAAAAATGAACCTGTGAATATCTCTGCTCCGTGGTGAAAAATACGCATTTTCTAATTAAAAGAAATACAAGTTGGGTGTCTTCAAAAACAAATAAAAGCACCTATATTGTAGGAACAACATAAAATTTAAATCAAGGAGACAATAAATCAAATAAGAAAATAATTCTTACCGGTAGTATTGAATTCAATGTCGTATATCCAATTTACTACTATGCAAGAGTTTGAAGCAATAAATAAGTCAATATCCACAAAATAATTTAATAAATATAATTATCCATTCAACAAAAATTAAAATAAAGTCACAATGCACTAAATACAGCCATCATGCACCCGTATATTTGGAGAAAGCGAACGACAATCCATCGTTTGTTTACATCGGACGCCATTTTGCCGCAATGCATGATGGAGCCGAAGACTTCATTTTCGGAGTTCACGCCGTTTTTAGAGTTCGTCTAGACTGCTTAGCAAGTAAGATAACTCCACCGAGTCTTCTAAAAATATGCAACTGGAAATCCCCAACTCGCTTTCGGCTATTTTAGAGTAAAACTGTGTTACGCACATGTCTAATAATAGGTGTCAATAAGTGAGGTAGGTAGTATACATTGTACGAAAATCTGCTGTTAGTGGATAAAGGCGGTTCTTCTCTCTATACACTGTAGTTCATTAAAAAAATATGTCGGCACTGTGTAACATGTAGCTAACAATTGCTGCAGTGATAATACATGTATCGAAGAAGTATTAAAAAAAAACATCAATGGTGCAAATACTTTAAAAACGGTTTATTATATGTCATGTATATAGTGATTGTTTAAAACTCATATGGGATTTTAATAAGTATTTAAAACTTAAACTGGAAATAAGTTATTTAATGGAAAATTTCGCATAAAATTGATATACAATGTTCTTATGATCTATATAATTTATGTACCATAGACCGCCATATTTTCTATTGTTTTAACTATGGGTTATCTATACACCATAACCCATGGGCGGGTCCTTCATAACCTATAGGCGGTGCATGTCTTAAATTGCATACAAAATCAATTAAATTTTATTCAAAATCTTTAGTTTATTCTCGGTAGACTTTAGAAGGTTTTTCCATATCGTCGTCATCGTTAAACTTTCCAAATCGATCGTCAGAATGGTCCAACTGCTGTATAACATTTTCAGGTCTAACCGGCTCCTGGGTCAAATTAAAATCCGTTCGAGTAAGAGATAAATCCACAGTACCATCAAACACGTTTACTTCGTCCTCTATCAGCTGGCCTATCTGTGAGAGAGCTTGATCATCGATAGAAATGTCCCATTCAAAATTTTGCGGAAGTTCAAGAAAATACAGATCCATGCTCATTGCGCTGTGTTTGTCCATTTTCGCTCTTTGATTGCAAGTGCACAAAATGTGCAATAAAATGTAATATATATGCACAGTGTATAGCGCGTGAAATTATAATTATGTCAGGTGACAAACCATATTAGGAAATTTATTTGCAACTTATACATCATCTCTCTGCCATATTAGGAAATCTGAGAGTGCTATGGTACATGTGACTTACCGTATAAGTTTTTTTATTGGTTTTCTCTAGATACCCTTTAGAGAGGTTAAAAGGTCACTCGAAAGCTGAGCCTTCTCGTGACCTTTTAACCTCTCTATAGGGTATCTAGAGAAAACCAATAAAAACTTATACGGTAACTACTACATATCCATATTAACTAACTTTTTTTTCTTCTAGACCCTTATTTCAGACAATGTAACTAAAAACAAGACTAGTCTTTCTATTATCACCATTGCACCATGCAGAGAGCTATCAATGATGTTGATTTTCGCATCTCAGTATCAATTATTAACAGACGTAAATGCATTCATGAACTGTCTATATTCGTGTAATATAGCCTTGTTTCGCAAGGAAAGGCAGTTTACGACTGTACGTACATGTAGAACACGTAGTGGCTGAATCCACTTCGAGACGAAAACTAATTTCTCGGAAATATTGATGACAAATATGGCGCTTTGTGTGTGCTGTGCGCAAGATATGTCGAAAATGTAAAACCTTACTTAAACGTTCTCAGTAACGGGACAGGTATGTTTGAGTTGCCGATTTGTCTGCTTAGCAACTTTATGAGCACTAAATAAAAACAGAATGAAACAATGTTGTATATCTTCATGAAAATCAGAAAATAGGGTTTCATATTTGTTCATACTTGAGATTAATATACTATCTTTTCTTTTTTGGGTTGTTGAATTATTTATCATGGAACTAGCACAAAAATTACTGGTCAATTATTTTCAGGATTTCTTTTCAAGGAACACACCAGTGCTGTGGATATTTTATTTTATTCCTATCAGCATGTTTTGTGTTGAGTGGTAGTTGATATCATACCTAAACAAGTTAAGATTAAGCTAAAGCAACAAATGTCCGTAAAAAAAAAAATACCGATTCATTTTAAAGTATTTTAACAAGAAAGAGTTAAAAAAAAAATACTCGAGTTTTTAATGACATATTTTTATTCCGAAGAAAAAAGTATAAAATTTTTATTTAAAAATGTGATATTTACAAATCAGCTACACATATTGTGAGATCAACAGAAAAGACTAATTTTCGACGCAAATACATTATTAATCATGTATATGAAAGTCAAAGATTAAAGAATAGCACTGAATGTTTTTTCATCAAACGAAGAAGACAAATATAATATACTTATACTCAAATTGTATATATACCTATTATCTTTGACAAAACTACGAAAACTCTTCAGGTGCTAATTTCCTAGATTTTGTCACATGTTGATGCCGATATGTTGCACAGCGCGATGAATGTGAAGTGTTAAAAATGTGTAAGGCACAGCTGTAGCATATTCAAAACAAAATGTAATAGTCTAAGTCTTATTTATCATTAATTAATACCGGCGATTGTGTAAATAACTTACACACTCCATTGAATGTACTTCTTGTAAAATCCTTTCTATGAAATCGTAAATTTATAAATCGCTTATGAATATGAGAATAAATTGAGATATGAAAAAAAAAAACCAATTCAGACTGAATAATATTTTCGTTATTTTAAAGATCTTTTATTCATAACTTTGATAAATGTTATCAATAAGGATTTTTTTTTATCGATATGCAGTATTGTATGCAATAAGAAATAACATCTACATTTTCTAACAAATAAAATGACAGTTGCCAACCATAGGCGCTTGGTTTCAGTTCAAATCGGCACACGATTGAAGGGCGTTATTCAATCATTTTTGAAGCTAGATCTCATCCGACAACGGTAGGAAAAGTGTAGATATTGATTAAAATCAAGTGTGAACCGAGACACCCCCTGAAATCTTAGGTGGCAACTGTCGTACCTTGGTTCTTTTTTATATACAGTTATATGATATATTTAAAACGTGCTAATTTCAGCGGTCTTCGATTTTTATTTTAATGAGTGTATTCAGACACACCTAGAAAAACACATAATAAACAAAATACACCATCCATGCACCTGAAACCAAGCGCCTATGTCACCAACAGCAAATCTTCATTTTGAAACACTCGTGAACACGAAATGAATTTATTATTAAAAATTATCACAGTGCTGTAGTGTTTCAGTCTAATAAACTGAAACTGAAAGCAACGGATGTGACGATTTTTAATAACGTAAAATGTAGAGGCGCCTCGGAATTACACGAAAAGCCTAGAGAGGTCAGATTTGTTCTATCTGCATAGATTTAATGATGTTAAAGAAAAAGAAAACTAGAAGCGAGTGCTGCTCATAACGGCAAACTAGCTCTTAAAGGAACGCCGAGACGAAGAGTAAAATTTGGACTGTGCACATTGCTCCAAAATGAACTTTTTTCTATAATAATTCCGGAATTGCAATTTAACACAAATAGATAGTTTTTCCATA